CGTTTCTAACTCGTCTTGGATCTTGGCCACTCGGTTCGCGACAAACGTATCCCAACGGTGGGGTGAAGAATGAACCCAACATAAGGCGACGGTGGAGTCGGAAAAGGCAAATATTCTTTCTATGTGAACTCTATCCCTACATGCGCCGATAACTGTGGTAATAAGCTTGGTGAGTACTAATATTGCGCAAAGCTCTAAGCGCGCCAGAGAGACAACCTTACGGGGAGACTCTCGACTTAGAACTAATGAGGCTAATCGAATTTCTACCATTATTCTGGACATGGAAATATACAACGCCCCCGTAAGCCTTCTCGCTGGCGTCTGCAAATCCAACAACCGTTATGCTGCTATTTCTATCGACATTTATATGACGCGGTATTTTAATTTCTCTTAGTAAAGGAAGTTCCTCTCTAAAGCGCTGCCACAATCGAACAATGCTGTCAGGCGGCGAGTCATCCCAATCGCATTCAAATAACCAAAGTTGTTTAATCAAAAGCTTAGCGTATAATACCACCGGAGCTACGAAACCCATGACGTCCCATAATCTAGCAACGCATGACAGTATTGTGCGCTTTGTGCATTTCTCTACGGGCGGATTTACCTTAAGGCTAAACACGTCGGACTCTGGTGACCAACACAGACCGAGCACCTTGTGTGTATCGGAATCGTCGAATTCCTTTATCGCCGAAAGACGGTGTGATAGTGGGATTGTATCTAAAACCGGACGCGAATTACTAGTCCACTTCACAAGATCGAATTGACCCGATTTCATGAGCCTTATAACCTCGGCGGTGGTTAGGGTGGCCTCCTCCACGCTATCGACCGAATACACAAAATCATCCATATATAATCCGCTCTCAATTGCCCTCTTAGCTTTAGGATAAGAGGGACCTTCATCGTGAGCGAGCTGTCTCACCGTGCGTAACGCATGAAATGGGCTCGACTTTAAACCAAAACAAACGCGGTTAAATTCAAACACCATTAGAGGTTCCTTTGGGTTGAAACGATATAAAATGCGCTGGAATCTACGGTCGCATTCACGGACCCCTATGCAAAGAAACATTTGGCGAATATCGGCGGATAGTGCTATACTAAACAAACGAAAATTGACTATTATATCAAATAAGCTGCCCTGTAAATTTTGCCCACTATAGAGGATATCGTTAAGCGACAGGTGAGTGCTAGTTTTAGCACTAGCGTCGAGCACTACACGTAATTTAGATGTAAGTTTGTCCTCTCTAATGACTCCGTGGTGTGGTATAAAATACGACGGTGTGTCTTCGTAGTTATCTAATTTCGAAGCCACAAGTGATATGTAACCTTCTCTTATATATTCGTTAATGACGCCGTCGTAAGCTTCCTTTAACTGGGGCGAAGCGAGCATCCTACGCTCCAAGCTGTAGAAACGTTTTTCCGCCATTTGACGCGAATCGCCGAGAGATAAAACATCTCCCTTAAAGGGTAGCGCTACACTATATCTACCGTCGCGATCACGAACGGTCGTGCGGACGTAAATTTCCTCGCATATCCTGTCAGCTGAACTAGCTATGGGTGGGACGTTCACCTCCTCCATCTCCCAAAATTTGCGGACTAACGACTCGAGCGGTTCGACAGCCATACCACAATAAGAGGCTGCCGAAATACTATCTAGGATGGGGGCGGAGCCAAGGATCACATAGCCCAATACGGTTTCCAGTGCGTAAGGCGCGGTATGCGAGGAGTTGCCCCTGACCTTATTGTTTAACAAAAGATGAGGGAAAAGCGATGCCCCAATGAGCATGTCTATGTTTCCAGGAACGGCGTAAGTGTCGTCTGCTAGAGTCAAATTTTTAAATTCAATCATTGCCGAGGTGTCAACCGAAACGGTTGGCAACCGTTCAGTGACCCTATCTACTACTAGTGCATTTATATCAAAGTTAACGTTACGATCTATCCGAGAATAAAATTTTAAATTTATATATCCCTGTGTCGCTTTACTAGTACCTCCGATGCCTTTAACTACAGGACATGAAAGTGACCTATTTATTACTAAGCCTAAGCGCTGACAACATTGTCGTGTTATAAAGCTATTTTGGGCTCCGCTGTCCAGCAGTGCACGGACGCTTTGTTTGTTTCCACGCGAATCCCTAACCAAAATACGCGCCGTACCCAGTAACACGGTTGAAGGAGGTTGTGCTCCCATATTTGCCAATGAGCACAGAGCGACATCATCAGGTCGACCGCTAGAATCGTTGACCTTAGTAGGGGTGAATTCCTTATTCGCCTTACTTGACGCCGCTATGTTGCTATTTTCAAAATGTAATAGCGTGTGATGTTTCCTGGCGCACTTGCTACATACGGAACTCGAATTGCATTTTGCAACTAAATGCTTATCGCTTAAGCAGTTCAAACATAGGTTGTTTGTCTTTACTAACTTATAACGTTCGCTTGGTGAATATTTACGAAAAGTCGCACAGTTATATAAGTTACCGTGTTTATCTTTACATACTATACAAGTATGCTGGAGCGATGTCGGCGTAGCGGTTACGTAAGTTAACGACCCTGCTATTTTAGATGATTGAGTCTGTCTACGGTCGACGCACCTTTTAATCTCCTGTTTAACGTTCGGTGAGCGCTGCATCACCTTTATTTGATCTCGCACGAACGATGCTAATGAATGAAAGGAAGGCATCTCCGAGCTACGATGCTCCATTTCAAACGCACGCACGGTGTCGGAGTCTAGTTTCTTCAATGCTATATGGAGAAACACCACGTCCATGAGGTCATTAAACTTCAAATTCTTAAGTGCAGCCACCGATGCCACAAATTTATCGAGAAACTGCTCTAAGCCGTTGATGTTCGCGGATGATATAGGTTTAAGATCGAATATCTGGTTCAAATATTCGGAAGCTAACATTCTCCTATCTTCATATTTAGTTTTAAGCGTTTCAAATATTAATACGTAATTGTTTGCTGTAGGTGTAAAACCCGAGCAGATCGACTGTGCTCTGCCACTAAGTTTGCTAATTAAGTAATATAATTTTTCAGCGTCCGATAACGATGGGTTGTTGTGTATATTGTTTTGAAAACTACTGAAGAAGAAGGGCCACGTCTTAATATCACCATTGAATACCGGAATATCTATTGGCGGTAACCTAATTGAGTCACGAGGGCGTACCTGCATTTCAGGCTTCGCTTCACCTTGAGATTGTAGCAATTTTGCGGTTCTCTTCACGCGACACAACATATCTTCGAATGCCAGCAGCGGTTGGTAGTTCACTATGTATTTCGGGTCGGTTTGTAGTTCCGAATGATTAATTTGGTCTAATATTCTTTCGTAATCTGTCCGCAAATTATCAATCGTTTCGATTTCATTTAAAAAGGCCTCCCGTACTGCCTCTATATGAATGTTCTTTATATAATCACTTATATTTTGCACACGCGAAAAGAGTATGTCCCTCTTGGCATAAAGCGTTTTAATTTTGATTTCACTTCCACTAACTGCCATTTTAAATTATTATAATAAAGTTATATTAATCACAATTAATCTCACACGCATAAACGACGTAGGATGAATACTCGGCGTGCTGTATTACGTAATCAGATCGAGCGCCCGATGCAGTCAAGGCTACGCGTCGTTTGCTAAACCTAATAATTTTATAAAATTGTGGGGTAAGCGTATCAAACGGTTGCTATCACGCCGTTTCAATTATTTAATAAGCTTTAAATTTAACCAAATACGAGCGCTATTAAATGAATAATTCTGTTTGCGAGTAACAAATCAAAATTTTAATTTAAACGAACACTATTTAAGTCTATTCCATAAGTTAGAGTGCGTTATCTAAACAATTAATTTAATAATTCGACCAGAAAATGGTTGGATAACCACTAAACACCAATCCAGATCCTGCCGAAGTGACCATAAAATGGTGGAGCCACGTGTTTAAGGCTGCCGAAAATCTAGTTCCCCGGTCAAACCTCAAACCTATTACGCGAGATATTAACTAAAGTGGACTGTATATGCGATTGCTTCTATGCTTATGTGAAGCGACTACTATAGCATGCGGTACAATGCACTCGCTCTTCCCTAAACTAAACTATTACTTGTCGAATCGATGAAAGGAATCCTGCTTGACTAGGAAAAAAACACAAATTGGAGCGGGTTAAATTATTAGCAAGCAGGTATAATTAAGGAGTATTGACTCACCGGGGTTTCTTCTTCCTGTCGATCACTATAGCGGCGACTTCCGGAACACTCCGGAGAGAGGCGGTGCGCGACGATATCTCACACGAGGTGAGGCGGGTTCCTGGAGCTCGACTGCTTCCAGGCCAAAGCGGTTTCCACTAGTGAGGTGTTTCCAAACGAGCGCGCGGGAAGAGGAGGTTGTAGTTCAACGACGACTGCGGCGGGAGAAGAGAGCGCGCGTCGGTCGCGCGTGTCTTATATATCCTCGGGTCCGATGATTACGCGATGTTCTAGAATCGTCTTCTTTCCCCTCCCACCCCACCACCCCGATGTGTCGATAGGAGGGTACGAATGATATTGTTTCGGAAGGGAATAATGATTCGACAAATTCCTACCGTCAAAAATAAAAAACGCGAATGGTTTTCCGCGCAACCAATTATAATAGTAAATATAGGTGACATATATAGCAATTTGACGATGACATGTATTATTACTGTTTTTCACTTTGACATATTTATGACAATTTGTATAACATTTATCCGTAATTAATTTTTTATAGTTTTGTATTAAAATTTTATGTCGAAATTAAATTAAGACGATTTAATATTTGTACGCCTATAAAAGAGGCAGAATAAGTGAACTTCTGTATTAGATTTAAGACCATTATGTATTACCTTATTCTGACAAATAAATAAATAAATAATAATAATAATAATAATAATAATAATAATAATAATAGATAATAATAATAAGAATAGAAATGAATGCAAACGCACTGCGGGCGTACTTTAGGGCAAAAGGGGAAGAAACTGGATGTTTGGCGTATCGGGCTAGGATGCATCGTCTTTTTGCTGAGCTGGAGCCATCTTTAATCGTCACAGAGCAAAACCTGGCAGACCGAGTTCGGTATATCTTGCGCTCAAATATATTTGATGTCGCCGAACTCGAACGGCTACGACGTGAGGCTGTTCCCTCGTCGGATGAGAATGCTACGGCTGAGGATGCGGCGCCACAAATGGTAGAGCAACCCGCAAACGTGGATGCCGCCGTGAATACCCCAGTTGTGGTTGATTCAAACGATGATGGAACAGTCGCCCAGGAACTGGAATTAGAGCATATGAGGAGTATATTGGAAGAGGCGATTGTGGAAACGCGCAGTACGCCTCTCGAAAATCGACCGCGACTTCCCCGCATAGCCCTAAGCAAGCGGAATCGGGCTGTCGTGAGGGCTCTGAACCCAATGCTGGTTACCTATTTGGAAGCCAGCCGGGACCTTTGCGAGACGGACTCAATTCTTTTTGGCGCCGCGCTGGCAGTCTGCCGTATCATAGGCGCCAAGGTTTCCACGGCTGGACGCGCTACTGGCCATAGTAGCGCTATCCCAGCATGGAGAAGAAGAATTGAGGAACGTATCGCAAAGGCTAGAGCTCTCATCGGCAGACTGATATGCTTCAGATCAGGCAACAACAGGCCAAGAATTGTGCGCACCGTCAGGATGGCGTTTGCTGGGACAAATGTCAGTTTGTCCCAGCCGGATATAACGCAAAAACTGACGGAGCGCATAGATGATCTGAAGCAGAGAATCGCTGCTTGGGGAAAGCGGATTCGGCGATATACCGAGAGGTCGACACGGTTCAACCAGAATCGTCTCTTCCAGAGTGATCAGAAGAGGCTCTATGAATCATTGGAGCGACCAATGGTAAGTGGAACGGGTCCAGCACCGGATCAGGCCGACACTGTAGCATTCTGGCGCGGCCTGTGGTCAGAGCCCGTAAACCACAGCGAGGGCCCTTGGACGGAAGTTGTGGCGAGTCAGTGTGCGGGTATTACGCCCATGGACCCCGTCATCATAACGCCGGATGACGTAGCTGAGGCGGTTCGTAGGGCCCCCGAACTGGAAAAGTCCGGGGCTTGACGGGCTGCATCACTACTGGCTGAAGGGGTTCATGGTGTGTCACTCTGTGCTCGCCCGACAGTTTCAAGAGGCTCTCAACCAGAAGTCGCTCCCAAGCCTCTTCACTACTGGGATCACTCATTTAGTTCCTAAAGACCAGGGTACCACAGACCCGAGCAAATACCGCCCCATCACGTGTCTACCGACCATATACAAGACACTAACATCCATTTTGAGCGCGAGAATCACTTGTCACCTGGACTCAAATCAGGTGATGTCGCGCGCTCAAAATGGATGTCGGGGCGGTGGTCGTGGAACCAAGGAACCACTCCTCATTGACGCGGTCATTGGCAAAGTGGTGAAACGCAACCGTCGGAACTTCTCCGCCGCCTGGATAGACTACAGAAAGGCATTCGACTCGGTGCCCCATACATGGCTAAAGAGAGTCCTCGAGCTGTACAAGATAGACTGTACAGTTAGAGACTTCCTCGAGCAGTGTATGGGGCAGTGGAGTACGATCCTTTGTCATCTAGGCGAGCGGATGATGGCTGCGGAGAACCACATAAGGATAAGAAGGGGTATCTTCCAGGGCGATTGTCTGAGTCCAATCTGGTTCTGCCTCTCTCTGAACCCTCTCAGTACCTTACTGGAGGGCTCCGGGAGGGGATTTCAGCTACGGAAAGGAGGGACAAAAGTGACCCACCTTTTCTATATGGATGACCTCAAGTTATTCGCCTCCAGTCGCTCCCATCTTATGGAATTGTTAAACATCACTTGTGAATTTAGCAATTCTATTGGAATGGAGCTGGGAACGGATAAGTGTGCGGTCCTCCATGTTGAAAGGGGACGGGTTGCTAACTCTGAGGGCGTAGACTTATCTATGCCCGTCAACTTAAGGACCCTTTCCGAGGCTGAAACATACCGATACCTGGGTATGTCACAAAACATCGGTATCGATGAGACTGGTATGAAACAGTCAGTTTGCGACGTGTTTTATGCACGCTTGACCAAAGTGCTTAACAGCCTTTTGTCCGGTGTGAATAAGGCACACGCATATAACGGCTGGGTCATGCCTGTCCTCATGTATACCTTTGGCATACTCAGGTGGACTCAGACTGAACTTAACGCCCTGGATAGAAAAGTCCGCACTACAATGACGTCCCATAGGATGCATCATCCGAGATCGTCGGTAATGAGGCTGTACTTGCCGCGGAAGCATGGTGGTCGTGGCTTCTTGAGCGCGCTCACCATGCATAATCGCGAAGTGTGCAGCCTCCGTGATTACTTCCTGGCGAGATCGGATGATCCATTCTATAAGGACGTCATTTCTTGTGATAAAGGACTTACCCCTCTATCCTTAGCCAACGAGCAATGGCAAGACCCGGCAGTGCAGAGCATTTCCGACCGGGAGACCGTATGGAAGGAGAAGGAGCTCCACGGGAGGTTCTACAAGGCTCTACATGAGCCTTTCGTAGACACAGTAGCCTCCCTCCACTGGCTACGCTTTGGTGATCTCTTCGGGGAAACCGAGGGTTTTGTCTGTGCAATACAGGATCAGGTTATTAAGACCAACAACTATCGGAGATACATCCTAAAGGATGGCACCGTCGACATCTGTCGAGCTTGTCGCCATCCCGGTGAGTCACTTAGGCATGTTATCTCCGGTTGTTCGGCGCTTTCTAACTCTGAGTACTTGCACAGGCACAACCTAGTAGCCAGAATTCTACACCAGGGAGCTCGCTCTGAAATACGGTCTCGTGGATCGGAAATTGCCGTATTACAAGTACTTGCCGGAAGCCGTGCTCGAAAATGATCGCGCCAGGCTCTATTGGGACCGTGCCATCATCACAGACAGGACTATTCTTGCGAATAAGCCTGATATTGTGCTGATGGACCGGGCACAGTCAAGGATATTTTTGGTCGACATTACCATTCCGTATGACGAGAACCTCGTGAAAGCCGAAACAGACAAGCAAACAAAATATCTGGACCTGGCTCACGAGGTGACCGACATGTGGGGTGGTCTGCCGACCGAAATTATTCCTGTAGTCGTCTCTGCAAACGGGCTAATCCCAGTCAGCCTCTCGGGTCATCTGAGGCGGCTGGGACTACGTGGCGGACCGCTCCAGGTTCAAATGCAGAAGGCGGTGCTCCTCGATACCGCCCGCATCGTCCGCCGGTTTCTTTCCCTTTCCCCCTAACCCTCGGCCGTTTGGTCTCCCCTGCCGAGGGCCTCCATCTGGTTGGGCTTTTATTTATTTATGTACTTTTATATTTATTTTATGTTATTGATATTTATGTATATTTGTCTTTTCATTTTCATTTATAATTATATATTTATAGCACCCAACCAGATGAGAAAACTATATAGATACCCCAAAATAATAATAATAATAAATAAGTTTACTCGTGCGTATTCTCGGATTCGCTTTGTATACAGTCTAACCCGCGCACGTGAATGACGCGAAGTCTGCCATACATAATATTTATCTGATATAACCGCCAATAAATTACACCAAATCATTCATTTATTCTGATGGATGTGAATAATTCGAGGTGGTCCTTGAAACTGGTTAGAGTTGAACAAAATGGATGCAAATACTTGATACCGATTAGTAAACTGAAGTGGAAATGAGCCATATAGCTTGAAGAACCGACAACCGATAGGAAGAAAGTTTCTCGAGTGGCAGCCTGGTACCGGCAGGCGAAGTGTGGGGTGGCTCCTACTAGATGGAGTGACGACCTGGTGAGATATGCAGGAAGTTGATGAAGACAGGTGGCTTAGGACCGTGCTTTGTGGCGTTATTTGAGGGAGGCCTATGTTATATATATATATATATATATATAGTCGCTTCTATATAAATGCGATAACTGAGTAAAAGGACTATAGATTTTACTGAACGTTATTAGTGAAACGTATATATAGGTTGTAACTTACACTTACATAAATACCTACGTTTTAATAAAAATAGCCTCTGGGAATGATGTGATCGTAACTATGCTGGTTCTATAAAATTCATGTAAAAATTGTACAAATTTATTATAAAGTGATATTAAAATACCGCCAGATTTCTGGCTGGTTTTACCCAGGACAGAATTATTTTCCAACTCTAGGGTAAATAAAAAAATTATCTTAAATAAATATTAGGTATTAATATATCTATCTGTATATAAAAATCAATTGCTATCTGTTAGTGTAGCTAAAACTCAAAAACGGCTCGACTGATTTTGATGGATTTTTTTGTGTGCATTTGAATGGGTCCCTAAATGGTTTAGATTCACATTTGGACCCAGTAGATGGCGCTGTTTTAAGATCTAGAAATCACTCGTGTGCAGCCAGAGTGGTTCACTAGTCAATATATATAAAAAAATTAACAAAAAAAAATTAAACCGCCAAAAAAACTAATAAACCTTTTCTTTTACTAACTACGTTCTTATGTAAATGTACCTAAGTATATATTTTTGTAATTATTTTCAGTTTTTAACTAACCTTATTAACTAAGTTAGATCCTTTGGCATGCTGCAAGATGCCACAGGATCTTTCGGCATGTCTAAGTGTGCCTTGCTACGCTGTGTCAGTAGGTCCTAATGGAATTTTGTATCTCTCACAAACTTCTTAGTCTTAATCCCGGGCTTAACTTGTTTGAGCGGTTACGTCCCCCCTTACTCAATAACTAAGTTCCATGAGCGGGATTAGTCGGAAATATTTACAGTAGCCGCTTTATAGGCCTTTGTTTTGTATAAGTCTGTCTAAGAACTTCGAAAAGACTTTTTCATAATTTGTCAAAGTTAATAACAGAAAATAAAATTATATTTTTAATAGAATAATGGTTATAAATAAGCACTTTCAATGATGATTGATTAATGGTAACTGGATGCTGTGGAAAAGACATCTACATTTATTTTCAATTAAGAATCAAACTGCGGATGCTTCATCATCCAGCAGAGTCTCCGGTTCTTTACAATGACCACACGAAACACGGCAGTTTACGCACTTCCTACCCCGGTCCTACCCCGGTCAAGCGGACCCATTCGTGCTACAATATAGCTGCAGCGTGGCTCTACCACTACCTTTCTAACATCATACCTTCACTAACGCAGTGCATCCATATTTACTATCAGCGTTCGTTTCCAATCATACAAGGAATTCTTTTGAGCCCGTCTGACCTATCAGGTTACAGTATAGTGAAAGAGCAAAACGCTTTTACGATATGGGAGAAAAGAGTATCCAGTAAACATACATAAAAAAAAAACATAAAAACTCACGCCTGTCACCCAGAGGGGTAGGCAGAGATTACGGACTTCCATTTGGCACGATCCTGAATACCTCTTTCGCCTCCTTTACATCCATATATCTACGCATACATGCTCGTCGGTTAAGGGTACTTCTAGTATCCAGTAAGTAGTCTGTTAACTGACATCGTAGTAGAATGTTTGAGTATATACGTAGTTATACATAGTAAAATATTCGAATTCTTTAGTGCGTGATTTGCAGGTTCTTTGGCATTTTTCTCGTGTTTAAATAAGATGTATCGTCTTCAAGGTAGGTAAGTGTGACAGCTGATCATATGGCCCCGGGTTAGAATCCGCGGTCAGGCCAGAATCAGTTTTTGGGTTTTATTGTTAAATAATTATCAGTAATAACGAGAGTTAGAAAGTTGGTGAGCTTTTACCGTACCTCTGGAATCACGTTAAGACGTTGGTCCTGCGGTCGTGTCGGACTGCCTTCGCATTGGAGTATGGGAGTGAGAGTGACTCTATTAGAGAGTGCACCTGCGTTTGTGCACTCACTCTTGTAATCTTCTCTTACGGATGACTAATATCCGTTTTAATCATGGTAATAATTAATGATTTGACCGAAATTCGTTCTTTTATACTATAATATACATTTATTTATACTGATTGCCTCTTTCGTTTAGTGGTCGTAATCGCGGCGCTGATCATGGTCCGGAGTTCGAATTCTGTGTTGAGGCAAAATCAGTTATTGGGTTTGTCTGTAAAGAAATTCTCAGTTGCAGTCC